GACTTCACTCCTTGCCGCCTACCCACAAGTCCCTCTACTCTCCAGTGCATATCAACATAACATCTTCCCATTTTTTATATAAATATTTTATAAAAATGTGAAGCACATCCAACACTTTATCCTTCTGATAAATAGATATCCATATACCTGTAGAGTTAGCATCATATTCTAGAGTCACTAGTTGGTTAACATCAAATATTGCTGGGACTCTATACTTGCTACCAGATTCTTTATCTTCTTGAAAGCCTTTTCTTCCTCGCTCGTCCAAGACCAGTCTACATCGTCCCCCGTACGTATTCTCAAATTGCTAGTTTCCTCGATCAGATTCTGAATATACTGACTCAAGTATGTCACCATACCTACAAACCGAAGGATCTCTGTCTTGTTCTTTTGAAAGGTAGTTTTATAATCGAATTTGTTTTATCTAGGTTAGGTCGTAAACCTTCTCTTTTCAAGAATGTGACCAAAAAATTTTACAGATGTTTGGCATAGCTTGGTTTTATCTTTGTTGATCTTTCAATTTGATGTTTCTAATCGTATTAAGAGATTCTTCAAATCACAGCAATGATCTCTCAATGCATCTAAAGAATCATCACATCCATACATTAGAATGTCATCAACTAATATTTCAATGCCTCTTAAATCCTACGTAATTTGTAGCATTTTCTGAGCAAAAAGTTCTGGTGACGATGATATTCCAAAAGGGAGCCTCAACTATCTGTATCTCCCAAACAGGGTCCAAAGGATCGTGAGCTTACCGCTCCCGTCTGTTAATTGTATCAGCCAGAATCCCTTTTTTATATCTAGGGTTGAAAATACTCCTGCCTTTTCTATCTCAGGTACAATTTCATCAAGATTTGTAAACTGAAAGGGCGTTTTATTGCTTTGTTCAAAGGTACCAGATCTATACAATTCCTCAGCGCGTTATTATTTTTCTTAACAAGTAAAATATCGCTCACCAAATCAGTGTTGTTGTGTTCTGAACCACGATTCCTTCCTTCTCCAGTCTTCCTTCAAATCATTCCTTAAACTGATGCGCACTATTCTTCCTGGTTGTAACCATTTGTTCTATATTCTCATTACCGTTGAGAGAAATCTCACTGGGCCAAGAAACCCAATACCATTGAACACTGATTGATGTTTCTTTAGTAGAGATGCTGCTATACGACCCTCTTCTAATACTCTCAATTCCTTCTCTGTATTTATTTCACAGCAATATTTCACCGAACCTAATGCTACACGTGTCTCATCTGATAATAAACGGCCATAATTAACATCAACTACCAGAAACCTGAAAACGAATTGTTCATCCTTTCTACTACACAAAATATCTGCTACCCCTAATATTTCAACACGTCCTCCACCAAAATTCCTCAACTGTTCCACAGATGCTTTACGTTTTGATGCTGTTTCCTTTGTTAACTTACAATAGTTTTGATATCCTATAACATTTGTCTGGGAGCAGGTATCTAGATCACAATAAACTTTCTTCCATTGATTTCCAAAAAACATCTATTGCATTCCTCTTCTTCTTTCCAGGGTCCTTGATTGATTCCATTTTAAACACTTCCAATGAGTTGTCCTCGAAATCGGATTCACAACTGCTGACATCTGAAATTTCTTCCTTTTTCTTCATTTCTTTAGTGGATTTGTGTCTTCCCTTCAAATTGTCTTTACCACTTTCCTTTTTCTTCTCATTTTTTAAACAAACTCTTGTAAAATGATTTCGACCTTGACAAATAACAAAAGTCTTGCCTCATACTGATCACAATTCCTTTTCAAAGTCGTGTTTACCACAACAAAACCGACATATGGTCGCTAATGACCTAGTAGTTGACGCGACCTTAAATAATTTTTTTTTAAATAAAATAAAATAAAATAAAATAAAACAAACGACAATTGACTACTTGCTGTTGTTTTTTTAACCTCTTTTTTTGAGATCTTATATGCAGTTTAATCTTAATGATAAACACTCCTCAGACGAAGCTCTGAAAGTTCATTTCCTTTACAAATCTGAACTAGCTCTTCAACGCTCAATGTGTCAAGATTCTCACGAAGGAACGGTTTCTTTAATACCGAAAGACAATCGATCTCTCAACATTTCGTCATGCGTGACATTTCCATCTACAAAGGTCGAGGACTTTTCTTACTCTAAGAAAATAAGGCTCGAGTGATTCGTCCTCTAATTGATTACAATTATGAAATATGAAACGGTCATATAAAAGATTTCTCTCCTACATCAATCGTTCACCAATTAATTTCAAAACATTCCCGGTAGATGTTTTTTCTTTTACAAGTGAAAATTTGAATACTTTTTTTCTGCTTTATCTCCGATCACTGACCATAACACATCCATTTTCTTCGGTTCGAGATAATGTGACACGTGTTGATACCCGATAGGTGAACCCGTTTTCTTTAAACAATTGGAAGTTTTCGTATATGTCACCTGTTTCGACATCCAGGGGCTGTGGTCAAGGTATATTCTGAGTAATAAGTATGTTGTTGCCTCTAGCCATGTTCCCTTATGTCGTCTGGGCTGCCTGGTTCGCCTGCGAAGCCGATGTTTGATCTTGTACTTGCTCCTGCAACGTCTTCAATGATTCTCCAATCAGTTGTAGACAAGCATTATTCTTAGATGCATCTCCCGTATATTCCTAATGCATCTGTAGTGTCAGCATAGTTTGCGATGCAAAAGTTTGAAAATTGTTGTCGGTATTCATCCTAACTTTGCTTTGTGTACTTCACTTTCTTTCGTTCAAATATAAATTTTATCCACCATCTAACTTCAATCGTTTTCTCTAAGGAATAGTACATAAAGCTGCACTCCTGACACCATGTTATAGTGGCTATTGAAATAATACACTTATCACAATTCAGCCTGTTTTATTCCATGTTCTCTTACATTGACTTCACTCCTTGCCACCTATACATGAGTCCGTCTACTGTCCAGTGCTTAACAACATAACGCAGACCATACTTCAACAACTCGATGGAACTTCTTCCCATTTGCTGTTGTCATTTGTGTAAGTGACATGGCCTTCGAAAGACCATTCAGCACAAATATAGATACGAGGCAATAGATATCACCAATGTCAATATTCATGTCGTAAACCGCTATTTCCATTAATCATATACTTAATTTTGTCATTACTCACATTTTGTTGACATACTGAAAAAAAGTCGAAATTTTAAGATGGCGTTCAGATGAGATAAAACCTTATATATTACACATGGGTAATAGGCTTCTATGTGCACTTACACTTCCGCACTCATGAATAAACAACTAACTTGCATATAATGGCCAATTTTACCCACTTGTAAAATTAATTCGTAACTATTCTTTTATTAAAAGGAAACGATAAAAAGTAATTATATTTCTGATCTGTTTTGATGGATGGATGGTTCTGGTGCAGGGGTCAAGTATACATAGACAAAGGTTACAGGTTCGAGCCCAATGTAGGCCTGGGTGTTTTCAAAAGGTGATTGTGGTGGGGTTGGCAGTTGGCTTATGACATCACCATGTCTCTTCCATAATCTCATCATCCCAGTCATAATCTCATTAATCTATCATACTTGTACTTGTGATCATCATGAGCATCATCATCAGTAGCATATTCATTAGTCTGTGATTACTACATAGACAATCGCAAAACCTTGCGCTCACAATTCTTACAACCGCAAAATCTTCAGCCTAAAAATTAGCCCTCTTTTACCTGGGTCCGCCCACATTGCAGGTCTATCAGGCCAGAACATTATGCCTCTGATCATCATCATCCTCATCACTGACATCTTGTGTTCACCCTACCTGCTTTCAATCAAAAAGGCAAAGACATAAATTTATATTTGAACGAGAGAAAGGATAATCACCTGCCCAGGAAAGAGAAGAACATAGAAGCTTAAGCCTTCTTTCTTTCAACACTCAGAAATGAGTAGTACAGAACTCAACACACACTCATATTTTTTGTAGCATGATCAAAAACAAAAAATTCAACATTTTAATAAATGTGTATTTGACAGAAACATTTTTCTTAGATATTTTTTTAATGATTTACATTCTCATCTTATTGATTAAAGGGAAAAGAAACTGTATCAATACTTATATACAAGATACTTATTAACACTCTTGGCTTAAATAGGTATCTTAAAACATTTAAGTACACATGTAGTAAGTGTAAGGTGCTACTTGTTTAAATCTATATGTGCAGTGAATAAGTGGTTATGTCAAATTTCTCAACTTTTAAGAGAACAATTTTTAAAGTTTGCACAGTTGTGTAAAATCAGGATTTTATAATAAATTGAGAAAATTTGGTAAAATTTACCATAGTGTTAGTAACTTCTCAGCTGAGTAACTGTTTTGAAGTTGATGTAGTGATTGTCATCATTAATGAGATATGTTCAAAAGCCTACTTTGAAAAGTAGGGAAAGACTTTGTTGAAGGTTCAGAATATGTAAAAAGAATATAATGACACATTGAGTTCGAAAGGATGTATTAAAACACCACACGCATCATAGAATCTTCACCACACTTCGGCATAGGTGGAAGTGACCAAGAAGCATACGCAGCAGGACAATATTGCCAATCCAGATAGCGTTATAAATTGGCACACTCTGAGTACTGTGGGCACACTAAGTAATGTTGTCCCAATAGACATAACCTATTATTCAGTGCATTCAAACATTTTCTATTAAATCAGGCATATTTATATTTAAGGTTAATGTGTCTGAAATAGTTATGTCCTTTGATGTTTCTAGTTGTCAATAATAATGCCTCTTCCCAGATTTAAGAAAAGTAGAATGAGTTTTACTTTGTTTCCAAAGTCCTTAATTGGCTAAATTGAATTGAAATGACATAAAACTTTTCATTTTAGGTTTTTATTTTCAGCACTCTTCCAATATTGCACAAAAGACCATTATTATTGAACAGAATCTCCCTATTGATTGTCTAATCCATTTTATTCCAGAAATTGATGAAAGTGTTACAACAATGATGCAACGATCAGTTTCAGAGAAGAGCCGAGAACGCTCCGCTCAAGCCCACCGCTTGCCATATCAATATAGTAATCAATATGTGCCAGCAGACACGGAAGCTCCTGCAAGAAGGCCCACAGGGGACATAAGAAGCAGCAATGTTGGCACTGTTGCACCTATACCTCCTCTCAAACAACAGAAGTCAGCCCTTTCCCACGTCCACAGCACACCAAATGTGGCCTCCATTCGAGGGGGAATTTATTCTAATGTTTCTTCATATGCCCGTCATGGCAGTAAAACTGCTTCCTCTTCATCGATAACAAATGTTACAGGAATGTGTTCTGCTGTTTCTGAAGGTGAACTCTTGGATTTAGCTATTTTGCCCATTTTTCAAAAGTTGTTGAGCGAAAGACATAAATCTAGAAGTGGATATGGAGCTTCAATTGCTTCTTGTCCAAATATTTCAATAAAATGTGACATTGTTGAATATTTATAAACATTTAGTACTATTAGATAGATAACGAAAAGGCTGCAGAAAAATCTGTAGGCCCCGTTTTGTTATAACATTGAGGACAAGGACTGATTCTTCACCTAACTGACTGCATAAAATGTTGAAAGATAATAATTTATTTCAAGTATTAAAATGTCACCCTTCATGTGCTGTGTGAAAAGAAATGCATGCATCAAGCAGTCACTGTTCCTACGGAAGAACAATGCACACAAAATGACTTATGATGCATGCCTTTCTCTTACTCTCATTCTTGTTCATTTCTGTCAATACATGGAAACTTGAGTAAAATGTTTATTATTGGTGTTAAAATAGAAGTACTGTTCAATGTAGTATTACACATAGATCCTTTTTTGCTATTCAACATCTTAATTAGAGCGGAAATGGAAAATAAGATACAGTACATAATTTTGAATTTTTATTGTTCAAAACAAACAATTTTAAGAAGTGTGATTGAGGTTGTTATTTACTCTATTGTATATGTGTCTGAAAATATGAATGTACTTGCAAGTCAATTTCAGTTATTGTGTTCCGAAGTATTTTAGTAAGAGAATGCATACTGTTCTAAGTGTAAAAGTACATTTTATCTAAATTACTTCAAGCTTGTTTGTATAACCATTGTAGTGAATGGATTCACTATTTGAACGGTAGTATGCCTGATAGTATTTCAGGTATGCTACAATGTGCAATGAATTTTTGAAAATAGATGTTTCAGTTAAAAGTGTGCTCCCAAAATGTGAAGAAAGAAAGAAAGAAAGAAAGAAAGAAAGAAAGAAAGAAATGAGCAGCAGTAAGTGCATGCTTCAAAGTTGCTGAATGGGAGTAGTTAAAACCCAGTCCTCACTATATGTTGGCTTTATACAATATATAGCATAAAAAATGATGGAGTGTCTCTCTCACAAGCAGAAAACATGAAATGAATGTTTAGAACTGGAGATAACACATTAGCAATTTACAGGATAATTATATTACTTGCAAGATTGTTAACATAATGAAATCCTCTTGTTTCTTAACAGGTAATTTTGGTTTTAAATGTCTCCATGATTTATGTCTATATAACATTGCTTTTAAATTCATAACAACTTATGTCTTTATATTAGATAGTATAATGAAAAAGATACGTTGAATTTACGATGATTTACCTGTTCTGTACTCAGTATAGGAAAATTGCTCAAAGATTGTTGTAAATTTGTTAATTGCTGATTCCTGTAAATTAATGTAATGTAACACAAAATTCTCTTCAACATATTATTTAACATTCCTGAAAATGACACGTTATTCACAGTTAATAAAGTTAAAAATTTTGAATGAATTCAGAAAGGTACCTGCAAATTTTATTCTGGAGATTGAGTGAAGTTTTATAATAGAAATTTTACAAATGAAGAGAATGGTATTGTATCAAACGTTATCCATTTCTGTTGGAAATGTTTAATATTGAAAAGTCAATGATTATATATCATTTGAACCGTAGTAATATGTCCATATTAGTCATGAAAAGTAAATAATTTCAAATTGTTGCACAAATATGAATGACTAGAAGTAAACACTTATATAGAATGCTTCAAACAACTTTTATTTAATCTCACTTCATGAAACAAATTTAGCAATTTCAAACAAATCTATATACTGTATATGTTTGCAAAAGTTGAATCCTTTTTATTGCTTTTTATTTATTTATTTTCTTTGTATTCTCTTGTGTGTTTTTATTTTCTTGAATTTTTGTTCCCTCCTATTCACTTATAATTTGCTCTGCTTTCACTAATTTACTAATATTTTTTCTTTTTCTTTCTTCTTTGTCTTGCTCTGTTCTTGTTACAGTGAATTCGAATCTTTTTATGAATGGGCCTCAAATTAAATTGTATTTAAACTGAGGATAAAGAGGCTTCAATAGCATTTAAACTTAAAACTTAATATAAAAAATTGAAAACATTGCAAAACAGTATAAATAAATCACTAGTTTAACTTCACAATGTAATCTAGAATTCTCCAAAATTTCCCTTTCATATAGTTTAATTTTGGCATTATTAATAATTTCAGCATCATTATTGATATAATTATCTGAGATCTCATTCCCATTTAAATATTACTTATGTCCTCATACATTATTTTTGACTGATGGGTCAAAAGTCACGACTCACTATAAATAATATCAATTTTGTTGTAGTGATCTTTCCATTGATTTCATGTAACATGCCTTTGGTTTATACCTGTTAGTTTTGTATGTAAACATTTTATTAACAATTTATTACATTTTAACAATTTATTCCAACAGTTTACGTTTGATGAATTTGTCACTAATTTTTCATTTTCAATAACATCAACATGTATAGTTACTTTTCTCACAATTAAAGTTCTAAAGATTAACAGAAGAGCACAGTATCAAGTCTGCAGGCATAAAACATAGTTATAAAGAAGACATGAAGATGATATTTGAAGAGATATTATCATGAATATATTGAGATTTGCATTGATAACTACTTTTTTGTATAACTATCAAGGATTTTTAAAATGTTTTATAAAGTTATTTCCATAGAACTAAGTTTCTCTCAGTCAGCCATTTTACTGGGCTATTACTAAAGAATACAAAACAGTACTTAAAAGAACAATGGCCTCAAGGCAGGTCGAATCTCTTGCTTCCGTGATGCAATGATGACTCCAATATTTTAAGAATAAAATTTCTTATAAAATATTCACACCAAAATGGATTATACATATTATTAACAATAAATAATTATTAAAATACAATTCCAATCTTAGACATTAGATACTATAATGCCATGTCATGTCATATTCTCTAAAATTTAATTCTTCCAAATCAGAGAGGATTTTTTCCATCTTGTTTAAACAACTCTTTACAACAGCAATTTATAACTTTTCATATTTAGCAATAGACATCGAATTTAGTTAATTTGTCTGTTCTACTTATGAAACAGTTGTTCCTAAAATTCATAGTCAATAATGCCTCAGAAGAATGCTGTTTTAATATTCTTCAATTTTAAACTTAATCAATTATCATGTTTACCTTCTTGTTTACTTTGCTTGCTTTTTTTATTTTTGTTTGTTTGTTGTTTTTTAATACTGTAATGTTTTACTGAATATTCCTTACAAACCTGTCCATAAAAGATGACCCAAAAGAATGAAAAATAGTGACAAGTATTTTAATACTAATTAGAAGTGACTAGAAAAGCTTAAGGAATGAACATGGAAAGATAAGTTCTTCCAAATATTTAGTTCCAAATAATGTTTCATTCGTTTAGTTTATTGTTTTGAAATAATAGGTAATTTAGTCTTCTAAAAATGTCTAACAACAATCGTGAAAAATCTTATAAGATCAATTTTGTCATCAATTTGTTAAAATATTTCTAATAAAAGTTAAAAATTCCACGAAAATTTTAAACATACACATTGCTACTAGTTTTCTTGGACTTTTCTAAGTAGTACATTGATAGATTTTACATAATGAATTTTTAATAAGAGCTTTTATCATTGACCAATGGATAAATTAAGATTTGGATTTTCTATAATCCCATTTTATGAAGAAATAGTATAAAATGTTTAAACTGTAACTTAGTTTAGAATTTTCAACTAAATTTTTCAAGTTGTTCTTTTCTAATTTGATTCTTTCAACAGAAAGAAAATAATTTAATAATTTAAATAATTTCTAGAATGACAAATCAGCTTTCTTCTTACGGGCACTTTTTGGCAAGTCTTAACAATGAAAATTTACAAGTAAAGATATTCCCCACACATTCACAGCATTTAGTTTTTACATTGACATTATTTTTTATCCTTGATATCAGACCTTCAAATCTTTTTGTAGTAACAATAGTCTAAGTTCATTTAGTTTATATAACAAATCATGATGATAATTAAAATGTATGTTACTTGTTTGTAGAAGTATGTATGAAAGCATTTTTATACCTATTTGTTGAACATACACAAAATAATTTTCATTTTCACTGCTATACTGCAAATATTTTGATTAAGGTTTTCTATCACCCTTATGTAAGATAAGAAAAGTAATTTAATTTAATTCCTTTCCTTTTTATCATTAATCATTATTTTGTATTAGAATGATAACATTGGTGTTTCAAAGCAAAGCCAGAATTTTTAATTAACATTCTTCTTAAGATGAGATACATTTTCACGGAAAAATCGAGAAAATTCTGATTTTTAATAGTGAAATTATATTTTCTTGCCTGCTAGTCCAATGTTTCTCTTACTTAAATTTAATACTTCCATTTAATATTATACTCATTAAATTCTGGTTTAATGATCAAAGATCAATACAGTAGAATATGTGAGCCTGAAGGTTTTATCTAAAGTTTGATGCTTTTATTGGTTTTTAAATAATATTTAAATGGGATTTAACAAAATAACTGGTTTTAGAAACTGAAATGTTAAAACATTTTGTACATTTGATTGTATAATTTTTCAGAGTTTTCTTCCATTGATCACCTTTACTGTGCCTAATCTCACCATAAATCCATCACGTCAATCCCTTTATATAAAAGTTTATATTTATAACATATCTTTTTTCTTTAAATTATTTGAGAAATTTTGAAGCAATACTGTTTGCAGAAATGGTTTTAGCAGGAAATTTGTCTGGCAATCAGTGGAAAAAAAGCATAATAGATTACTGACTGAACGGAAATAATTGTAGTAGAAAATGTCTTTCTACTTAGTTATTTAATGAAGTACCAGTACACTTTATTTACAAACAATACTTCTTTTCATGACGAATTTATGTTGATATTATAAGTGGATAATCTCTGCAAGTGCATATCACAAGCTAAAAAATACATAAGTTTCATAACTAACAAAATTATGCACTTTCGCACTTACCATTATTATGAATTAGCTGTATCCAACATATTTGGAAGTGTTTGTCATCCTCCCCTACATAGTACATCTTGAAATGTCGACTCACAACTTTTTGATGTGCATTAATTTGCAAAGAGATACTCCATCAAGTAATTCTGTCAAATTAACTTCGTTAGAAGTTTTTATACAATTTCACTGCCGTATTTGGTTATATTAAGGTCTAATAATTATATATCAAAAATATTTTTATGGCATCTGTTCTAAAATAAAATAAATGTTCAAAACCAAGTATTAAAACATTATTACCAGTGTTACAAGAAGACACAATTGTCTTGTAAATTTCAATCCTTACCCAGTTCTCAGTGAAGCAAAATTGAAACTTAGAGTATGTATGTGTATAGGTTTATGTATATAAATGCATACATTTGTGTGTATTTGCTGTCTCACAAAATTGTTTCATGGCGTGTATCTGGAGAGATATTTACTCTTCAGCAGTCATAAATTCACTTCCGCAACTAATTATTCACTGGTAACTTATTTGAAGTAAATGTATATGTGATGTTTTAATGTCTATTACTTAGAAGTACTGTTTTTCTTCATATATGTTTTCAAAGAATTTAGTATGTGACTGGATATGAATATTTGTAATAACGTTATAGAAAACAAACTGAGTTTCAAATATATCACCTCAAATTGTGGCCAGTGCTTGAAATATGGGAAGCCCATTCCTTGAAAATAATAAATGAATAAATAATTTTATTTTGTTAACTTAATAAGTTTGACATATAATCCTATTCTAAAAAATGTGTGATAATTCACAATATGAAATTTATATATGAGCATTATTGAGCATCAACAATAATGCATGAAGAATCAATGTAAAGGCTACTGTTCACTTTTGAAATAACTGTTCATTAACTATCTGGGTTACAATTCTTTTTCTAAAACTGCTGCACTACAGAGTGTAATTCATCAAATAATTCTCTTTCTAATATTTTCTTTGTCACACATTCATATTTGAGCTGACATGTTTTGAAATATGTTTTCTCTTTATCAGTAAAGAGAGTAAATAATGTTCTAATTGAATTTCAAAACCATTTATTATTATTACTAGCACAAGATAGGAAATGAACAAATACCAATAATTCCACATTAAACTCTTATTTATGAAATGATGAGTGCCCAAATATCAATACCAAATGACTTCTATTTGTTTTATCATATCTATAAAGGTCCATATTTAATTAGGCTGCATTCCGGAACCATCCCTAGAGTATAGTCTTCTGTCTGAGGGATGTCTGATTTTCGAGGAATGCTGTTTTCTAGGCATAGTTGCATTGCAACTGCGTCTAGGATGTGGCATCTCCCAAGCAGCCAAGAATCTACTGACTCTGGCTGCTGAAGCTGATATTTTCATCCCTAGAATGTATTTCTTGGAGAAAGACAACATGCCAAATAAAAATTCCCAAGCAAGGCATACAAAATATTGCTCATAAATTATATGATTTTCAAACTAATTTTTTAGTTAATGTATTATGCATAATTGTAAAATATTCAGTACAGAAACATTTAAACAATTAAGAATATTATTTTCTCTCTAGTATTTTATCTTCATTGTTTTCATATTGATACATGATTGTAATAACACATTAAACAAAAGCACATAGATCATATTACGTACCATTGTCAACTTGTGCCATTGAAAGTAATAGAAGTGCGAATCATCATCATAATATGGTATGAAAAAGTTGTATTAAATAATTTACCAATTCAATGCTATTCTTTCAACTTTCCTCACATTGTGCAAAGGGATTTTAGAATTATCTTTATATTCCTATGGACTTGGGAAATTATTAATATAAAGGGTGTTACTCAAATTAATTTTCTAATTTTGTAAACAAGTAGCTCTGATGATAAAATTTCCTGCTATACTTATTTTTTACACAATTTACACTCCATTTTCCTTTCCACTCTGTGTGCTTTAGAAAGTAATCGTGCCATTGTCCATGCCACTTTCTGTTATCATTGGAATGTCTCAACTCAGGTAACACACATGGAATGAAATGGTAATATTTTCATAGGCTTAAAAGCACTGTAACAGGGAATAGTGTGACAGCAGTATGAGAATGTCAAGTATTGTCATAGGTAGAGGGAGTTCATTTCCAAGTCAATATGTTAATGAAAGAAAGGAATGTAGTTCTAGATATTGTAGTAAACATGTTTGGGATTGTTCATAATTTTCCCACATTTTTTCTTGAAGTGTGTGATAATAACAAATCATGTTATTTAGAAACTCAGGTGCCAAATTTAATAACCTTCACAAAATGGGAGAAATATAGAAAATTACTTGAAAGCGCTTT